TTTTCCGTCCAGTATCCGACACTATCCAATATTAGTCAATACTTTAAACAAAACAGAATTAAACTATGTAAATGTCAATTTTCTTCTAAAATGATACGTAGATTAATAACATTGGTTAGGACTCTTGAAGCCCTGTGTGCTGCTTTGTCTATGTGGCAGCCTCGCTGACAAACTGTGTGACTTGCAGAGTTCGGATCGTCGGTTGTCTTTTCGTGCAGCCCGTCCTGCAGCATTTTGGGAGAAATTTTAATTAAAAAAAAAAATTTGAACAAAGGCAAACCAGAGATGGAGGAAAAGACAACAAAGGCAAGCCTATCCTGCTACGTTAATCTGATGAAACAGATATATAAATATATATATATATATATATCTTTTGTTTGTTATATGAATTTGATCAAAAATTTTGTTTGTTTTGATTTCAAAAACTTTGCTTGTTTTGATTTATAAATATATATATATATATGGGGGACATAATTTTTGAATGATAACACGTGACCGAGGTGTCACCGAAGTGCCACGTGTTCTGGTCATGACGCCGAGATCATCTCGGCTAGGCCGAGGTTATCGGTGAGAATACCGGAATCCAAGATAAGCGGATAAAGGATAAGAATCCTAGAATGAGAGAAGATTTCAGTTTGAGTAAAGATAAGACTCTTAGAGAGTTTATCTTAATCCTACTGGAAATCCAAGATTAGCAGTAATCCTAAGTCCATTAGAGCTAGGCTTCTATTGGGACTAGGATTGTGTTGGTTATAAAATAGAGGCACCCTCATGGGTTTAAAGTATGTCTTTTATGCTTTGTCTAGTGAGTTAAGCACTATTGGTTATCTTTGAGAGATATTTTACTGACTTGATCGTCGGAATGCCCCCGGGTGGACGAGCCACCGCCGAAATCTCTTCTTTCTGTTGCAAGTTGTTTGGGCTTAACCTATTCTGCCAATGTTCTCCAGCTGAATGCTTGATTGGTAGTGTGGTCGGAAATTGACACACACAATTTGGCGCCGTCTGTGGGAAAGACAGGAGAATAGATGGTCAACAACGGACAGAAAGAGAAGGTTTGGGACGACACTCCTACTGGGAGTGGAAAACCTATTAACCTTGACGTCGAAGAAGACAACTGAAACAAAGAGACTCGTGATAAGAATCAGGGAGAGAAGGACGTCGACCAGAAGGGCGACGTAACAAAGAAATCTGACCAGAGCAGGTATTATAGCGAGAACGACCTCTAGGTGTGGAAAAAAAGATGCCTGCGAAGGGACGACGAGGTGAAGGAAATAGCGAACAAATTGGCGGACCTACAAACGGTCGTCAATTTCCTGATGCAGAACAACGTCATGCAGCCACCATTCCCGTTACAAGATACGCCGATTCCAGCGGCCAAGAAAGATGCCTAGAAAGGGGGGCAGAACATAGTTCTTACAGTCCCTCAGCACGACAGGGCAAAGGGGCATTCTCACCGGCCTTCACGGGAGGTCGGGCATGGAGAATCAAAGAGGGCTGAAGAATGATGCTTGGGAGTTGGAATTTACAAGCTAAGGTTGGTTTAACACTTGTTAAAATTTTAAACCGGGGTCATGTTTAACACTTGTTGAAATTTTAAAAATTTACAAGTTGAAGTTAAACCGATGTCATGTTTAACATTTGTTGAAATTTTAAAAATTTACAAGTTGAAGTTAACCTGATATTATGTTTAACACTTGTTCAAATTTTAAAAATTTACAAGTTGAAGTTAAACCAGCGTCATAATTAAAGGAATGAATGATATAGGTTTCATCACCTCAGGATGCCGAGATAATAGAACCTATGGGGCATTTGTGGGGACATAATTTTTGAATGACAACACGTGACCGAGGTGTCACCGAGGTGCCAGCCGAGGTGCTACGTGTCCTGGTCATGACGCCGAGATCATGTCGGCTAGGCTGAGGTTATCGGTGAGAATACCGGAATCCGAGATAAGCGGATAAGGGATAAGAATCCTAGAATGAGAGAAGACTTCAGTTTGGGTAAAGATAAGACTTTAGAGAGTTTATCCTAATCCTACTGGGAATCCAAGATTAGCAGTAATTCTAAGTCCATTAGAGCTAGGCTCCTATTGGGACTAGGATTGTGTTGGCTATAAAAGAGAGGCACCCTCATGGGTCTAAGATATGTCTTTTATGCTCTGTCTAGTGAGTTAAGCACTATTGGTTATCTTTGAGAGATATTTTACTGACTTGATCGTCGGAGTGCCCCCAGGTGGACGAGCCATCGCCGGAATCTCTTCTTTCTGTTGCAGGATGTTCGGGCTTAACCTATTCTGCTGGTGTTCTCCAGCTGAGTGCTTGATTGGCAGTGTGGTCGGAAATTGACACACACAATATATATCATTTCTATGTTAATCTGATGAAAGAGATCTGTGTTTGTTTGCTATGGATCGAAACAGATCTGAGGAAACATATTAAACCCACATCTATGATTTCAATTTTTTTTTTTTTTGGTAAAATTGTTTGTATATTTGTTTGTTTTGATTTATATATATATATATATATATATATATAATATATATTTTCTATGTTAATCTGATGATTGCCTGCTATGGATCAAAACCAATCTGATGAAACATATTCATGCAACCTATATCTGTGATTTCAATTTTTTTTTTTTTAGTAAAATCATTTATATATTTGTTTGCTTTGATATATATATATATATATATATCCATTCATAAACCAAGATCATTTCTGAGTTCTCATCACAATAACCAATCAACGACACCAAATGGCGATGTCTGACCTTCGATAGCATCTGAATCTCTGTTTGGAACTCAATGACGCCTTGTTCGGACTGAGCTTCCTCATTCTCCCTCCTTCCTTTTTCTCCCTCTGGTTTGCCTCTGTTCAATCTTTTTTTTTTTTTTTAATTGAAATTTCTCCCAAAACGACGTCATTTTGGGAGAGCCGCAGGACGGGTCACAGGAAAGGGCGACCGACGATCCGAACTTGTGACTTGCAGGCACTGAGTTGGGACACCATCTAGCACTTCTGACGTGGTGTCCTGTTGGAACAATTCGTCTTGAATTCTTCAATTAGTGGTCTTTAAGTCTTCAAAATTTGGCGATGATCTTATTTACGTAGAACAAAAATTGGTATTTCAAATCGCGTTACTTAGTCGTTTTCCTAAAGATAATATTTGCACCCACCAAAAGGTGTGCAGGGGGTTATAGCAAATTCACCTTCAGGATACAATAAAGCCTGATCTAAAGATCAAGTCTATAAGCATTTGCACTGACGACAGTAGATCAAAATACTCTTGATGTAATTAAGGAAACCAAGACACATAATCAAGTCTGCAGAATTTGATTACTAATAAGAAAAGCAAAAACTTGCTTAAGAAAAGTAAAAACTTGCTTAAGAAACTCTTGATTGAAAATTCTAAATCAAGAGGGAGGGAGAGGGAAGAGAAGAGAGAGAGAGAATTACAGGAATACTTTCTGAATTTTTTGGATGGTTGAAATGGCTGATCTCACAGCCTATTTATAGGCCTTGATGCATCTGATCAAATGGTCATGTCTCTTGATCGCATTCGTTCAGATCTGATCATTGGATTGACGATCTATGATGTAGATCATTCTCTCATCGAATAGATGCTTTGATTGATCATACCTGATCACAATCAGGGTGTCATCTCATCAGTACGATCGCGTGCATCTCCAATCAATGGCTATGATCAAACCGCTGTAGATTAAACACTCAACAGTTCGATCGAGTTGGACGCTACATCACTGTTACGTCTGTACTAAGTCCAAAGTGTGCCATCAAACACCACACAACCTGCGCCACGAGCGCGTGTGCAGATGGTGTGAAGCACCATCCTTACGATGTGAGTGCATGTACACTAGCATCCATTCCACAATTTCATATTTAAAGGAATATTTCATGTAACACTTTATTAAGTGTTCCATATTTTCCTCTCTTTCCGATGTGAGACAAAGTCTCCAACCTTATTTCAAGCTTTCGAGAAAAAAAACAATGAAGGTTTTGAAAATATCAAAAAACTAAATAATAAAATTTAAAAATCATTTTGAAAATTTCTCAACATGCCCCAAGGGTAACGATTAATTTTTGAGTAGTGATAAAGATTTCAAAATTTTTATCAAATGTTTAACATATGTAATCATACCATCTGAATCTTATGTAAGTCTCACATCATATGAGATATTTAATAGAAATTTTAATAAAAATTTTAAAATGGCTAATATTTTTGTTAATTTTCCACCGAGAGAAAACGAGGCCCACCGTACGCTCTCTATTCTTCCCTCCACCATATGATTACCCTCCCACCATTTTCAGTGTCCCCACATATTCACGTGTTCGTCGGCCCCACCATTCGCCATAGCATGTACGTTACGTATCATGGGACATGGGGATTTTCATTCAAAACAAAAATAGGACCTGGGAATTCATTCCGAGTTTTTTTTTTTTATTTCATGTGTGACTACATTATGACACTACTTCCCCCCGTTTTAAATGATGAATTCTTTGTGTATATTTGAAATTTTAAAAATTGTCTTCTTATCAAAAAATTTATTTAACTATTTTTTATATTATATAATAATAATTATTGAATTATTAATTAAAATAAATTTTAATAATATTAAAAACTATTAACAGATTTTGAATATAATGTTTTATTTCATACATATGAAAAATTATTTGTTATGAATTTAAAATTTTTAAAAAGGGATGTTTTTTCATAAATCAAATGGACAATATATATTTAAATAAATTTTAAAAATTATATTTATAAATTATTATTTTTTTAATAATTTAAATAGTTTAATTTTAAAAAAATATCAAATAAAATATATTTGTACAAAATTAAGTTGAATAAATATTGATAATTTTTTTTATTAAATCATATTTACATTTAATTTCATTCTTATATATTTTTTATATATAAATATGTTTTGATTAAAATTCAAAACATCAAAATACACGTCAAAAGTGAGTCCCGTGATGCGCATGACAGTCACTTTCCATTTCTCATGTCATCTTCTCTCTCCCCTCTCTCTGTTATCTTTCTTCTCTAATGGAGCTCTAATTGCCCTTCTCTCTCTCTCTCTCTCTCTCTCTCTCTCATCGATGGAGGAGAGATTGGTGGAAGTGTCCGACCAAGAGGTTCGAATAGACTTCGTTTTAGGCTGCAAATGCCGAGCCAATGTTCGCCTCAGGTCACTCAGTCCTACAACCCCCATAGCCTTCAAGGTCCAAACATCTTCCCCACACAAATTCCTGGTTAACCCACCGAGTGGACTCATCCCACCCTTATCCTACTCCACCTTCCAAATCGTCCTCAAACCCCAATCCCAACTCCCCCCAACCTTCCCTCGCTCTCCCTCCGATCGCTTCCTCGTCAAGACCGCACTCGCCCCTGAACTCTCCGAGTCAACTCACCCCGACTTCATCAACTCCTGGTTCAACTCAATGACTCGCGACTCCACTATTCAAGACCTCAAGCTTAAAGTTGCCTTCGTTGGACCCTTCCTCCTCCGCCACGCTGTCACCAGCGGAGACTTTGACTCCGTTAGGAACATAATCAAGCGGCAGAGAAACCTCGTCCCCGAGTTGCCGATTCGGGACGCCGAGTCGCTCCTCCGAGTCGCGACCGTGTTGGACTGCTCAGAGGAGATGGTGAACTTGTTAGTTGAAGCCGGGTTGAAGGCGAGAGAGAGGTTTGATGACGTCGGCGAGTCGAGGTGGGTATCGAAGGGTTGGGCGGAGTTACACGTGGCGGCGGCGATGAATCGGACGGAGGAGATTTCGGGGTTGGTGAGGAGAGTGAGGGAAGATGGGGGACCATTGGATTGTAGGGATAAGGAGGGTCGGACGCCGTTGATATTGGCGGCTAGTAAGGGGAACGAGAGGTGTGGTAGGGTGTTGGTGGGTGCAGGGGCGGAGGTGAACGCGAGGAGTAAGGACGGTCGGACAGCGTTGTATAGAGCGGCGGCGAATGGGGACCGTAGGATGGTGGAGATGTTGATTGAGTTTGGTGCGGACCCCACCATTAGCTCATTGGATCATGGCCGTTCAGCTCTTGATGTTGCAAGAGAAAAGGGTCATGTAAGTAGACCATCCAGTACAACTGTCGATCCAACCCAACTAATTTTTGAGTGTTTGCTTAAACAACAATGATTCATCCCCTTTTTCTCCCACCCCCTTTGACTCCCTCTCTTTCATTGGTTACATTTTCTTTTTCTTTTTCTTTTTTTTCATGCTCCTCCAATCACCACCCACCACGTGACAAAGGGGGTGGAGGGTGACCCCCAAAAAGGGGTCACAAACATTGTTCTTGCTTAAAAATAGTTTATTGGTTTAAAAAGTTAATATAAAAAATATTTTCAGATACATAGAAAAATTTGTAAAGTTTGTTTTAATATTCTGAAGTTTATCATTATCCACCAAAAAAACAAAAAAAATTATCATGTAAATATATTTTTTTGATTTAATTTTTGAGTGTTTGCTTAAAAATAGTTTATTGGTTTAAAAAGTTAATATAAAAAATATTTTCTGTAAGACACATGACCATGAGATGTCCTAGCATAAAAGACAGTACAACCATTCTAAGAATGTTATTTATTTATGTTGTATACATATTTAGAACAATTTTATACATCATTACTTTTTCGTTTTTGTTTTTGTTTTACATTTTTATTTCACAACGTAGATACTATTCTCCTTATAAATTATAATTATATTAATTTTTATTATGTAATCCACCTTTCTCTGATAGAATGAATGCATAAACAATGCAGAAGGAAGTGGTTGAGATACTAGAACAGGGCGAAGCAGTGCTAAACGCGGCTAGGCGTGGCGACCTAAAGCACCTCGAGTCACTACTAGATAGAGATGCGAGTGTCAACTTCTGCGACCAATACGGTTTGACAGCTCTACATGTCGCAGCAATCAAAGGACACAAGGATGCGGTGATGATGCTCGTTGAGTTTGGGTCGGATTTGGAACAAGAAGACAACGAAGGACACACACCGCTTCATTTAGCAGTGGAAGGTGGCCACGTGGAGACAGTTGAAGTGTTGATCAACCGGGGTGCGAATGTCAATGCCAAGAGCAAGAACGGCGCAACCCCTCTTTACATGGCTCGAGCACTGGAGTATGATCATGTGTTGCAGCTGCTTCGTGAGAGAGGAGCCTCTTCTTCTCATCCTTCTACATCATCTTCATCTTTGTCATCAATCCTATAGGCATATAAATTATAATCCATTTACTATAGGATGTTATTGACCGTGATTTCATCGCCTGATTTAGTATGTACATTCGTAATGAACAGATGAATATAGATGTTGGGGGGATTATAACGCTCTATATTTTGAGAAGTATAACCAAAAAATTGTTTCAACAAAATTGCATTATCTGTTGGAAGAAAAAGTTGAACAGTAATGCAAATGAATTAACATCATATTGGCAAAAAAGAGAACACTGGCCAACATAGGCCAAATCAAAAATGACCAACGCGGTTACTTTTGACACAGGTTTTCTACATCAGTTCAGACACTCGCGAGTTGAAAAGTAAAGGTAACAGTATAAGATTTTTAAAAAATAAAATAAAAAAAATCTCAGTCATCACCTAAGTTGCATTCTCAATCTGCTATCCCAGTGCCAGAGTTCTCCAAGTCAATATCTCCCATTCCGATATCTTCCTCCTCTTCACTGCCTTCATCGCCACTCACCTCTTCATTTTCACGACCTAGCTTAGCCATGTGTTCAGCAAGTAGTTTATCCTCCCGTTCACTCACCTGAATCAACGCACCATCACCGTATGAGAGAGAGAGAGAGAGAGAGAGAGAGAGGGAGATTTGTGACGAAAATGGAAACAAAGTGATCAGGCCCTTGCAAATCAAGATTAATGTTGAATAAAATGAAATTGATGCTTACTGCTCTAGCTGCCTCCTTTACAGTAAGTTTTCCCTTGTGCCGCTCTATTTCTTCAGAGCATGCTTGAATTGCTTTATTAAGTATTGCTATGCCTTGTTCCTGTACCAAAATAAAATAACAAAATTTCCTTGAGAACATTACCAACTTCCCAGTTGCATGTAGAACCTAGGAGGTTGTTGCCTGAGGATAATCAGTAGTGTCACTTCATGGAGCTGGCAAAGACTAATTGCGGAATAACTTTAAAGAATTCGTGTAACAAGATTAATTTCAAATGAAATGCGATAGAGAAATAAGAGCATCCCCATCTCTCCCCCTAAATCATTCCCTTACCTATTTAAGGGGTTGGAGCTCCTTTATGTCACTCCATCAGCTCCCTTATACCATACCCTAAACTAATATTTGCTACAGTGACTCCCTATTGTAGGGAGTCATGAACTGATGCACGTGTGCACAAGGGTAGACCACAATTGTCACACAGACACATCTATGCAGGCACTTAAATGACACAGAAAACAGAACAGGAAAGTGGAATACTAAGGAATCAAAGAAATTGATCAGCTGAGTAGCTAAAGATATTGCTAACACAGAATGACTCCTATTGAAACAATGGAATATATTGTGCTGTGAATTTTGGCAATGGAGAAATATCCATTAATGTAAATCTTCCCAAGGAAAAAGTTCGCCAAAATTTTTCCAAAATCACATTAAACTATAACCATAAATATATACATATTTGGCACTATTTTCCTAGATACAAAAGTGGGCCAGTAGGGCAGGGCTTGCATTGTTCTTACTTACAGGGCTAGGAAGTAGATATTAAATAACCCATGGTTCCTGATTGCAAAAAAAGACTTGACTATTGTGGCAAGTTGGCAACAATACATTACAGACAAGAAATTAACACATCAAAAAGTGTCTACAATTGCCACTTATCCCGGGTCCATATGAGATAAAAGCCTTTATATTTTAGCCAAGCATCCCACAAATAGCATTAAATACTTTTGAAAAAGAAGTACCTCTCACATTAACTCTAAACAAAGAGACAACAAGGAATGTATACAACGTAGACAATTGACATTTCATTCACACCTAAGATATTGGAACATAAGGCTAGCATCCAGAAGAGAAGCAGTCAGACAAGAGAGTAAGTTGTACATCCTCATGGCAATGGTTAATCAAATATGAATAAATGCCCCAAGAGATGGTAACGTAAAATCAGATATGAATAAATGGCCCAACTAATGCACAGGCATACACAGAATCCAGGCAACTATTGATTGAATAAGATTTTGTTACCTTGTCAAGTGTCTGGGTATTAAGAACATATGATGGAGGAGCAACAAGTTTAATTTTCACTGGGCAATCTTTATTGCCAGCCGCTTCAGCTTTCCGCATGGCTTCCTGCAGAGTCAGAAATGGAGATAAGTTAAAAACAAGTTCGCAATGGCAACAAACAACACCTTCCACAATATGATCATGATTCTTTGAAGAATAAGCCAATCAGAGAACAGATGATAGAGGCAAAGGAGGAGGGAAGCAAGACCTTAATGTGAAGAACACCATCAAACTGGAAACATTTCATTTCAATATCAGCCCGAATCTTCAATGGCTGTGGAGTCATTCTTCTCCTAATGTTTTTTATTAACGCATCTTTAACTTCCTCTGACATAGCAGGAACCACTTTAGTCACCTATAGAATGAGGGGATAGTGAGTAGCCTTGTGACCAATAGAAAGAATGATGCCCAGAGACTTTAAGTAGACAATGATTACCTCCTTTCCATCAGGGCCAGTTTCTTTAACTTCACGGGTGAGGGAATTAAGAACTGAATCAGGATCATTAACAATTAACTTGAATGCCTACACCAGGGGAAAAATATACAAGCATAGGTACCTTATTGCTAGTTAAAGAGAAAATACTATTTTCAAAAAGAAGTGGACAATCCTACCTCAAAAGCATGACCATATTTTCGGTACAAAGGCCAGCCAACATGAATGTACAAATCCTGTCAAATATAATTTGCTTTTAGAAGTGGCCATACGTGTGGAGAGAGAAGACCAAATAATCAGCACAGCAGTACATTGATACATTCAGCAGATATTTTGGTTAGAACTAGCCAAGCTTCTTCACAAGAGGGAGGCTAGACAGAAAGAAATATGGATCTTCAGCATACAACAATTTAAAACGTGTTTGGCACAAGCAATATATTATTTAAAAAAACTGGATGGTGAAATAAAGAAAGGCATGAGAAAGATATCCCTGTTTTTAATTAAACGTAAATGAAATTGGCCTCAAATTTGAAGCCCCAAACAAATGCAAATGTATGAAAAGTAGGCATTCAGGGAACATAAATAGATGAAGGGAAACATTAAGGTCATTAAAACAAAGTCACAGGCTAGGAAACAGTTGCAACTATGAGAACAATGTATATGCTCTATCAAATTCAAGATGATCAAGCCATTGTACTTAGGGCTAGTTTGGCATGTACTAAATAAGCCAAAAAGTCAAAAAGTCACTATCTTATTTAAGTCACATCATCTTATTTAAATCACATCACCTCTCTAACACATCACATCAAACCCAACCCAAACCCAACCCAAACCCACCAATAAGTAAAAAAGTGCACTTTTTTAGGACATCCCAAACCAACCATAAGTCACATCATCTTATTTAAGTCACATTACCTCTCTAACACATCACTTCAAACCCAATCCAAACCCAACCCATATTTCATAAAAAGTCAAAAAGTACACTTATTTAGTCTTCCCAAACTAGGCCTAAATTTGGAGTTAAAAAAGTTTCACTTAGCATATATTTTTTTGATTCGGTTCCGTTACGTAGCTCGAAATATCAAAGGCTCGAAATCTCAAAACGACGTCGTTTTAAGGGTTTTTTTTTTATTCTCTTACCGGTAAGATAATATTTTCCGTACCATTCGAGGGTCAATTGTATTCGTATATCGAGTGGGGCAAATATGACACATGAGGAGCATAAGTACTGGGTTTTTGATTTTTTTTGACTGGCTAGAAAATAAAAATATATTTTAGAGGGATATTTTCTCCAATGGAGAGTGTGATCTGCTGTTAGTACGAAATCATTCGTTCAATATGCACTCTGACATACTTATTACATACCGCATACGTGACTCCAGCTCACTAAATTTCTGGCGATAGAGTGTCACACATTTGACAATTTACGATTTTTTTCAAATTTAATGTGAAATTGATTACCAAAATAAGCCGAACGTGTGTCATAATTTATAATAAAAATTATAAAATTTTGGTGCCAAAATAAATGACCATTTGTCATATATTTTAGAGATAAAATTATAAACCTTGTTTACTCTTCAAACCCCGACGTTCAAATTGAATCATCTCAGAAAAAATGTTACAGCACTATAAACCCAAATCTTTTGTCTTAACTTGAGATTCCGAATTGATTACTCAGGGATAGCTTCGGTCGATTGTAATCTAATATGTTTTTATATCTTTTTTAATAAAAAAATAGATGATAATACAGTGGACATGTGTTATATTTTAAGACAAAATTATACGACAGACACGTTTTATCTCACAAATTAGGAACACACTAATCTCTAGGATATAAAACTCACCCGAGAAGGCTCCAACATGACAGACTTGGCTCGGGTGTGCATATCTTGTTTTCAGGATAACTACCGTAGTGTGAGTCTTTCAACGGTTCGAACATTAAAGAAGTGGAAATTGATAAATACCCGGAAAGTGGGCCTTTTTTGTGTTATTACCATTGGGATAATACCTCTATATCTCATGTTCACATACAAGACTATTGTGGTTAGACCCCTGGAATTTTATCCAGTGGTCAATGTATGTCTATGGGTGTATAAGTTTTAATACAGTTTACATATGTCGTAGATGTGTAAATTAGACGTACTTTCTATTGGTGACAATCGTTCTAACGTTAGCAATTCTGCTTAGATTCGCTGGTAGAGTTTAGGATGGGAGATTGGGACATTCTTAAATAACATTGCCTTATGCTAAAAAGGAAAAAGACTATTTGTCTTTGAAATTATTTATTTACCCTCTGATAAAGTGAGACGTCGACACCGGTAATATTAAAATCTGGAATTATACAACTTTTAATTTTGCTATGTTGTTATAAACTTTTTAAAAAATTAAATTAAATAATATAATATTTGAGTATTTTTAAAAATTATCACTAATCACGTGATTTTTAATTTTGAGTAGAGTTGGAGGGGATTAAAAATTGATTGGATATTTTTTGTAGCGTTGGCGCGAATGCACAAGAGTCATGATCTGAACAATGCTATTCATGAAGCAGATTTAGATATACACGCGGAGCATTACTGTTAGATTCTGGACAAAAGGGAATATTTAATTGTCTCACAAAATAAATTTTTAAATTGATTTGACACTTTGGGGAGGGCCAAAGTATACCATTTGAGATAGACAGCTATTGTCGAGAAGAATAAATATATTCCTCTTTAGTATAAGTGCTAATAAGGATGTGAGGGAGCAGTCACAAGTGCTGGAGTGAAACATATAGTTGTTGTAGTATTAACATAGTCTAGCATGGATGAGTTTATCTGGTCACAGATGAATTTGTGACGTGCGCCGCACCCGACCTCGATCCACCCTATGGGGATAACCAAAGCCAGTCCTACGACCAGCAAACAAATGTTTGGGGCTTCTTAGCTCAGGTAGTTCCGGGGGCAAACTTCTAATAGCCTCTAATTAAACAATGGAACTATTAGTCCTATCCCATGGCGGCGCCACATACCTTCGCAAAACAGCAGACGCTAGACCCAGATGGTAACCGACAATTCTTGATGATTAAAGGTTATCAGATGAGTTCACTACTACAAGCATGGAGTACGCTTCAAATACTTAGTTTTAACTGCGTACACACTAAAAATAGCCCCCCTAAAACCAAAGAAAAACGGTGTATTCACGTGAAACTCACCGACCCTGAAGCTTTATTTTAGTCATCTAGCTATCAATGTTTATTTACTACGCCTCACGGTGATGCATATAAAAGGCCCTGAGAATCATATATTTCCTTTTTTTCTCAGTAGACCAAACAAGTACAGTATTATACTCGGTTTGATCAACTAGCGGGTAACGCACCACCACCAACGCGGTTAGGGCCTTGCAAAGGAGGCATCGAAAGACACATTGTCAGCTTACTAGATGTACTATACGTGTCTTATGGGTTGTCTCAGTCATTATAGATGTGCACATTATATACCACCTCTGAGTTGCTTTCTAAAAAACACTTTTATCAACGGATCGGAGTAAGATTCTATAAAGTGAAGCTCAGGAAAACACGGTTATCATAAACTAATGTAAGACATATGATGGACTATAGTATGGCATCGAAGTGTTGTACAGTTTATCAAATTACTTAATTCATTGAGTAGCCGGATATACCATAACTTATAAAGCATAAATAATCCAACTTGTCCTCAAAAATAGACAAGCTTTACCCACTGACCTTATCAAAAAGTAGGTAATAGTTATTCTATTGAAAATTAAGAGTAATGGATTACACTTATGGGCCAAAGGTATGGGTATTGGAGACTTTGAGCCTTAATACAATCACAGTAAAACTTCTTGGATGCTTCTTCTAACACATCCATTAATTGTTATATTAAGACTCTCCTATCTTCTTGTCGATTTCGTCTATTCAATCCAAGACAATTCGCCCTCATAATCATATCCAAATAAGGCTAAATTGAGACACCCGACGATTCCTCCCATAAGGTTTCCGAATAATACTTGGCATAAGTTCCTGCTGATGACATCTTTACTCAAAAAATAATATATATAATATTCTCTAATTACTCAAGATAAGAAATGTCATAGTATTATAACACAATTATAATAAAGGAGGGGTATATCATGTCTTTTTCTAGCAAATACCCGCCAATTTTATTTATAAAAAAAATGATAAAAAAATTATTTGAATTGTACCCTTGAAGAAATATAACAAATGATAGCTTTAAATCCGATAAAGTACCCTGGCCCATAATTAATAAGTTTTATGAAAGAACGCGTCCGTGGGGCCAAACTTTCCAAAGGATTAGACGTGTGGCACCGAAAATGGAACCATGATTTGACAATTCACGCATTCAGCAATAGCTAGGTTGAATTTAATCCATATGGGCTCTAACTCTTAAACTAGTGGAATAACGTGCTATAGGAGCAACATTATACACTAAAAAAATAATAATACATGAAGTAGGACAATTAGGTTGGACGTAAATATGTATGAATAAAGCCAGTCATCTACTAGCATACTAAGTACCTCTCACCTTGTTATCTCACATACCTATGTGCAAATCCTGAATTGAAATTGATTTTTGCCAAATCTGGAATTATGTGTATATATATTCACGTGCCCTACAGAGGAATCACTACGTCTGTATACTCATAAAAGCAATAGATCTAAAGTGGATGCCCATTGATGAGATCAGATGTGGGGATCAATAAGAATGATTAGAATGTAATATACATTACTGGTTTAATTAACTCTTAAGTCACAAACCCCAAAATTTCCAAAGACGGAAAGAACACAAAGTATGGTAGAGATGCGCCAGCGATTACAGGAGAATACAAGATACATGCTCAGTACGGAATTGAAGACGAAGCTAGCGCCGAACACGCCTCTGTAGACTAAAAGATATACGATAGAAAAAAGACGATCAATCACAAAGTGAGATCCCCTAGAGTGGCATGAATTGCTATTGCCTTTTAATTAAAAGCTAATGAAAGAATCTCAAATTATTTAACACTTTTTTATAAAATAAATAGGCTATTGGTAAAAAAACACTGATTATTTTTTGTGTGGCACGATATTATATTGTGGCCGCGGCACCGATGTAAACTTATTTATGAGAAAAACCAAAAATTTCAAAAGAGGGAGAATTTTCATGAGTGATGGGATTCTGAAGCGACAATACTATAACGAATGAACTAGCCTTATAAAAAAATTAAAAAAAAAAACATCACCAATGATCTAATGCCAAATTATTTTTTAATACTATAAGAAGAATCTCAAAATATTACCTTTTTATAAATATAGGGAAAAAAAATTAAATTTATGTGAGATTTTGTCTGTTTACCCTTCCTTCCCATTAGCCCCTTTAAATCTAATTTTTTCCGATTGGGATCATAATATATTGTTACTCATCCAGAGCCGATAATTTTTTTTTTATAATCTTTTATCCATTGGTGGGTCTTCTGGCCATAATGCCAGAATACATTCAAAAAGAGAAAGTTAAATCTAATAGGTCTGAGTAATGGCAGTTCAAGACTAAATTGGTAAATCAGAGGATAAGAAGTTATAGACTACAGGGCATTGCTCCCGATTAGGAATAAAAAGAAAAATATATCTACAATATATAATAAATAGAGAAGCATCACAGTGTGATTAAGAGGAAATCCCACACCAAATGGATAGGCTATAAATTATCAAGAAGTCAAGAAGATATTGTCGTATAGTATTCCTAGGTTTTTCTGAGGCATAAGAATGAGTATATTCAGACATTTACGGACTCTAACAAATCAATAATCTTTATCACTATACATATTTTTCTTAAATTCAGTTTGTTAATTTGCTATATTGACCTAAATATAGACATTATCCACATTATTGTAACTACTATGTCACGATGTATCATCTTATATGTCTCTCTGGTGAACTGGGACTTGTCTAAACATTGATGATGGCCTCACCGACAATAATTGAAATTTGTGTTTCACATAAAATTAAAATTTTTTATCCAAATTTATTATAATTGGGTTCATTACTAATATGCTAAGCTACACCATAATTACAGTTCTGAAAATCATTTTTTTTGTTATCTCTCATGATGTTTTTATCACTCTATACTTATCCATTATATACCGTACACGGGTTGTCCATGTTACGAATAATTTTCTAAACATGTTGATTTATGAAATTGTATTAAAAACTTATAACTCGTAACTCGGAAATTCGGAAGAGGGAGAGGTGGTAGAGGTGGGCGAGGCGAAAGATATGGGAGTAACTATTTTGTTTTTATTTACATAAATTAATTTATCCTTATATCTTTAATTTGTAGGGCATAAATTAATTTTATAAATTAACGTTTAATCTGTCCTAACCGTTTTATTTTCTATTATTCGCATTTATGGGAGAAAACCTTTTAAGATATATACCTGGATACCAATGTTAATGAAAAAAATTAAAGCTTCAGCTCATTTGGCAGTATTTTTTGTTGTTCCTTTATGTGTATAAAGATGTATTTCAAAATATCAGTCTCTTGGTCCAGGGTTTTTAATATGTTTATTTATAATGGAGGGATTCACTTGAATCAATGTTATGAATAGAATTCCTTGGGCAATGGATACTCTCCTCTATCCATACCGGGTTCTATAACTCGAGGGAGATACCATAAATTTTTGATATGTAAAATTTATAACCAATTAAATTCGAAAAATTAAAGCAAACAAAGCTAGAGAAGGGAAGACTCTAGTGAGTTAAGGAACACATTGAGACGGGCCTTAGGACAATAAAGCGATTGCTCTGACGGTCAGGCGGAAAGAGAGGTGTTTTAAAAAAATTATGAGAATCTTACAGGTAAATAAACTACCTTATGGGGAACTGATATAC